ATAGTGGTGTTACAAAGAAAAGCAAGTAGTGCATCCAGTAGACTTTGAAGAAACATACCCTATACTTTTATTAAATGTAGAAGCACATAGGTCAGTCTGAATTACTTGGTGCTTTTAGGTATATCTAGGTCATGGTGGGCTTACCACAGTATTGCTCCCATTAGGAATGGTGTTATAGATGTGCCGAGGAACCCTGAGAATAATCCCATGGCCTGTTTTGAGCGTGCTGTCCAAGCATTCAAGAAGATGGAGTCCCTACCTGGAGGAGATCATCGTAATTAAAGTATGATACAAATACTAAGTGTAACAAACAAATGGGAGAATGGGGCCCAGTAATGATAGGAAAGTGTAGGTGGATAAACTGGTTATGATGTGCAGCTAGCATAAGTAAACATAAGAAAACAAATCATAGGAGCTAAAGCAAGAGGAGGAATATTTAACACTGATTATGTGGAATGATTGACTCACACAAAATAGCAATTGGTCACCCCAGGACAGTGTTGCATCTCGTTTCAATGGTGCTAGATAGTAACTTATTAATAAACAGTCTCCCCTAGCACGTATGTGGGCATGGGCACAACCATTACCTTCCTCCCTCAGGTATGTATCCAAAAAATCTTTTCTTGTCATGAAAGATACCTCATGAGCATCAGTGCTTGTGAAGTTGCAAGCCCTCTTTTTGCCCCTTAGCAGAGTCCTAAAATTCTGATCAACCCACTAGTGTTTATGGCCATTTCAGGGAGTTCTGGATGGTGATCAAAAGTCCTGAGCAGATTCCCACTTGATGCTTTTTCTACAGCATTGTCCTGGCACTTCGCATAGGCATACTTTTGCCATGCATGCTCACTGGTGTCTCTAATATGTGAAGTGCCCCAAAGCCCAGATTCACCTTTGCACCTACGTTGATGCACAGCTCAGGTTTCTGAGAGAGCAAACACAGAAACGTGATGCACATTGACTTTAATCCATGGGTAATACACAGCTTTATGTCTCCACTATGTTTTGCTATGCCAGTGGTGTGAAGGGAACCACTCAGTTTGCAAACTCCTGAAAACCCTGGTGAAGATGAGGCGGCACAGGTGTTATGGTCAGGACTACCAGCAGAAAAACTGGCAAAAATGGAGATTATATCTACTCTATAAGTAAGAGGCGTGCTTACTGATGCATGAATCAGCTTTAGACTTTACAGGGCAGTCTGTACAAACCTGTCTGAATACTGGACTAATGCATCAGGATCTGAAGAAATGACTGTGGCACTGCTGTCAGTAACTACTTCAGAGCTGCTCAACTGTCTTTACGTGTACTTCCACCTCCCTTCCAATCCAAGTGCACAACCAGTTTCACAACTTCTGCGTGAAGGAGTGCAGCAACCACCTCTAGAAAGCAAAAGGAAACACTTAGTGGCACCTACTGAGTAAAGGATGAGACTTTGTGCACAGCCATCCGTACACTACTGTCATCTGCAGGTGGTCAGCTTTGGGCACCCTGAGGCCTCCTGGAAGCTGGAATGAACATTAGAGGGCAGCAACTCCATCATAACGCTGTTTGAAGATAAAAGGGGTTACCTTTGGACCTTTGGATCAAAAGGCCAGTGTGAAGGCATCCACTCAGATTTGTGAGTGAAGAAATTATTGGCCAGATGAGAATACTCTGAACTCTGGCACTGCATTTCTCCCTCAGTCCAAAAGAGCTTGTGTTAGCTAACCTTCATGCCGAGATAGGCACCTTTATTCTTTAGTTTCAGAAAACTGCAGGAATTCTTGCTCTCCTTGTGTATTTTGCAAATAATTTAAATGGACACAGGATTACGTTCCACAGTGTGTAAAAGGTTGTGCAAGACTGACTGTTTTAAATACCAACTTCCAAAAGCCTTGCCAGATTCAATCTAAGGTGGCTGTTTCATAAAATTGATAGAAGTTCTTTGTTTTCTAGTCATCTGCAGGCTCACTAAACATCACTTACCTTCAGTTTGGCAGATCTGGTACAGATACATTTTCACATCTTCTTTGCTGTAAACGTGGACAAAGAATTTGCCCCTCTATTTGCATTTGGAAATACTTTGTGTACCTCATCTGGCTGGGAGAGTTAATTTTCTTCAGAGCAGCCTGTACAGTGCCACGCTTTAGATCTGGGACCAAAACAGTGTTGATACCACACCGATGTTTTAGCTGTCGCTGAACAGTGTTTGCACAGTGCCCAAGGCCTTTTTCCCACCCTGCCCCACTGATGAGTAAGCTAGGAGTGCACAGGAGACTGGGGGAGGAAGCAGCTAGGACAGCTGACCGAGAGCCAGCATCTAACATCATGCTCAGCAAGAAAAGCTGGGGGAAAGGAGGGAGAAACGTTGAGAGTCATGGTGTTTGTCTTCCCAAGTAACTGTTAGGTGTGCTGAGGGTCCGTGCTTGCCAGGAAGTGGCTGAACACCTGCCTCCTCATGGGAAGCGGTGAATGAATTCTTTATTTTGCTTTGCTTGCATGTACAGCTTTGCTCCACTTACTAAATTGCCTTTATAAGAACCCATAAGTTTTTCTTGCTTTTGCTGTTGCAATTCTCTCCCCGAGGCTGCTGGGGGGGAGCAAGCGAGTGAGTCGAGGCTTGGTTGTCACCTGGGGTCAACGCACCACCGTTCTTTTTGGTGTCCAACGTGGGGCAAGAGGACTTTGAGACACCAGCACCTGATCAGAGCATGCTAGATGGAAGTTAGAGCAGTTAAGTGGCAGCTTACTGTATGTTAGTGGCTGGTTTGGACTTTTGCTGTTTATTGTAGCACTTCTCATCTTACTCTGCTGTGCCAGGGAACATTTTGTTAACAACAATGGCCATGTGCCTGCGCTGGCAGGGGGCTGAGGCGCTGCTGCTGTTTCTGTGCTGCTAAATTGGACATACTAGAACACCAGCATTTCATCGTAGCAGCTCATAGGTTGTTGTGTTTTGGATTTGTGACTAAAACAATGTTGACAATACACAGCTGTGTTAGCTGTTACTGAACAGTGTTTGCACAACATCAAGGCCTTTTCTTTTTCCCATCTGTGCCCTGCCAGTGAGTAGGCTGGTGGTGGGAGGGGACACAATCAGGAGAGGTGACCCCAGCTACCCAAAGTCCTATCCATTAGCAGGTAGAAGCAGAATCTCTGACTTATAAAATCGATGCAGATGTATTGAGTCATGCTTCTGCAATGAATTTCGCATTTGTCTAACTTTACATAGAATCATACATATATACATAAAGGACTAATAACTTATTTAGAACCTTTAATATCATGGCCTTCTTAAACATAAATAGTTTAGCACTTATCACACAAAATCCTGGTTGTGCTGAAGTTAGCAAGCATTTATCTGTTTTCCAAGGTAAAACCTGACTCCAAAGTTGCCGTTTATTTTTCTTTTCTAAATAGGGCTTGTATTGCAATTTCATGGCTATATCTACAAAAATAAATTAAGCACCATCACAAAATATTAAGAAACTGATCATTTAAGATGAACTAATTATTCAGTTTCACCATTTGAAATTAATTTTAATTAGCACTGAAAATTCCCATCAAGCTGAAAATTTTACTTTCATGATGGAAAATTTCACTAATTATTGCCGAAGAGGTACTACTGTCAAAGCAAATATACACGAAAAAAGTTGATGCTTTTTATGCTACAATATTATCTTTATTTTCCAGTGAAAAATGACAACAGTTTGTGATACAGTAAAAAAAAGAAAATATTTGTTTAGTTTTTATATTTTTTTCACTCCCGTTCTATACATTTTGAAACACATGGTCTGTAAGATAACAAGAATTGGAAAAACTGCTGAAATAACTGGGATAACACCAC